CGGCGACGGTGGCGACGCGGGTGCGGCGTGCTGCGAGGGCCGGGCCGGTGGCGGGGGCGGGGCCGGTGCACGGCCAGTGCCAGATCCCGTCGCCCATGCACTTCGCGCGCTACCTGCTACTCGCCCTGGCGCTGGCGTTGCTAGCCAAGGAGCTCTTCCAGATGGCGCACGACTGCATGGGCTACGTGCACCGCTGGGAGAACTGGCTGCAACTGCAGGTTGATGGCACTTCCTCTTTCACTCACTCTGCATGAAACTAACTTCATCGTGCTTGGTATTGGTTGAAATTCGCAGCACACGACCGTGCGAAGTGCCGGAAAGGCCGGGCCCGAAAATCGACGGGGATTGTTTTCCATACTCTAACTCTACATCGGTTCCAATGTCCACTTAATCTTTCACGAGATGTCGTAATTGCACCTCATACTGTACTGCAGTAATTCGACATGCTTTCCAACAAATTATTTTAATTTCAAACAGGCCGTCATAAATTATATGAAACAGTCCACTTGTTTAGTGGAAAGTGGGCGTGCCCCTCCGTGACGCCCCTTGGGTGGAGGGGCGCATCTGGCACCGGTGCCCCTCTGCGACCCCGAGGAGCTGTGGTCGCCGCCATGAAAATAGCCATCTAGAGCTGGTGTCTAATAGTATACTATACGACTTTCCTTCCATAGACACCAAGCATGTTTTGAAGCCTGGGAGGCACGTTTAAGTGTTTTCATGGGGGGGGGGAGTGAAGTTTCTTGTAGAATCATATTTGGTATTAATATATTTATAAATATATACATATTTATTTAAAAAATAGGCGAAATCATGCTCTGTAAATTCTTATTCATATAAAACATTTACCAATATTCAACTGGATATCTACGAGATAAAATTGGTTCAGAACATGATTACATTGCAGCAAATAAATTGACGTTTCTTCCCATATATTGTCAGAATTTCGTGTCCAATAATGAAGGGAAAAATTGGGGAACTATCAATTGCAGTAGCATCCATTCCTTCTTTGTTCTAAAGGAAGTTTTGGTGTTTCAGTCAACTATAATAAAACAAACAGGCAATTAGGGGTGATCAGTGAAAAAGAATACTCTGGGCCTAAACGATCATTTTGATTAAAAGTGACTTCCCGAGGGAAATTCATTTGTTACAACTTCAGTTAATTTTTGTGTTGTGGTTGTGTGTTAGAATCAGTTTTACCCCATTAAAGATCAAAATGTAGTTTGTAGTGCGTTTGGTGTAAGATAAGTGTCATATGTGTAACATATTAACTTGTATGTTCGTTTTACTAACATTAAATGGAAATTCCAACCAACCTAGTCTTTGTCCTGATCATATGACATTGTTTTCTTGTCCTTTCATATGTTTTCCGTGATGCTAGCAAAAGAGCAAAACGATCACTCAAGGGAACCTGACACATCTGAAATGACTAAAACAAAACATTTCTTACTCCCTGAATGGCAAGAAAAAAAGCTCGTTCCGTTGGGGAAGTAAGTAGGTTTTACTGTTCAACGTGAAAAATAATTCAGGACGAGAAATCTCGCCCGTTGCTTTTTTTCCTTCGGAACTTGACTGATGTCGATCTACATAGGCTAAAAGCACGCGGCATAGTGATTATATTCATCTGATTTCACTGTAAATAACTTAATTAAAACTTTGATTGCACAAAACAATTCCAAAAATCACAAAAATCTTGCAAAATTATATTTAAGAGGAGAATAAATTAAAAAGTAAAATAAAGACTTTACTACTCCATTGATTTCTTAATATTCTTGAAGACTGTAAGTATACAGATTATAAAATTGCACATTGTAATTGCATTAAAAATATAAAATCTCCAAGAGAAGAGAGTTCATATTCCCTTTAATCAGTTTTTGAAATGGTCCCATGTTTGTCTGTGAATACCATATGCAGATTTTTTCGGCCCCTAACCGCATTTCTCTCCCTCTCCCTCTCGCCAACCCCCTCTCTCTTTCTCTATCTTTCTCTTTTTCTATCTCTTTCTCTCTCCCCCCTCTCTCTCTCTCGTGCCACACGCTGCCTGCTATACTTATCTAGCTCCATCTTGTAATACATAGTGTGCTGCGATATCATTTTAAAAATCCAATTAATGGTGCGCCATGAACGAGTAATTTGTAGGTCGAATTTTTTGTCGTTGACTTAATTATTGAAAATCGTGATATACTATCGATATTAACTGTATTCATGCAAACATCAAGTCAAGGATCTTGCTTTCTACTTATCTACGGATATTTACATTAATATGTTGAACATTACATATTTAAAATTCGCAATACAGATTAAAACACACTCGACCTCCTCCCCAAATAGTTTTGTATAGCTGCGTAATCGTGTATCAGGAGACAAATCTCAAGATAACCTTAATGCTCTTTTTGACATGAGTAACTTCTATAAATTTTATTTTAAACACATTCGTGTTCAAATTTATTTTTCTCAGGCACAGCATATTACAATTTCTAATCATTAACACGATTTCAGCCGTGTATACAACGAATTAAGCCTCTCTATAAGAACATTTGATATGTGTGGTAGTGTAGAGTGTGTGTATATGTAAGAGGAAGAACGAGACAAAGATGAGGAAGGAAACATTGTGCGCTGTCTGTGGCCTGTTTGTTCGGGACTAATAGACAGTTGACACTCCCGAAAAAAAAATCAATCAATCAATCCACCCACAAGCTACCACAATAGGGGTAGGGGCAGCTGGGACAGCTGAGGCATCTTGCCCCAGGCTCCGACTTACTCGTAACTGGGACCCCGATTTTTTTAATTGAAAAGAATTTGAACTAATGGTGCTACAGAACTTTCCCTATATGTTTTCTCTTTTCTTTGGTCTGGGTTAGCTATTTCGATTTGTCTCGTTATCTTGCATGCTGCCATCTACCGCCGCGGAAAGGACATTTTTTTGAATTTTTTTTCAAATTCTTCCGTTTTCTAATAGCACAACTGAAATACTTCTTTAAGAATATTAAAGAAGAGTAAATCTTTGTCCTAAATAGCAATTTTTATTGAGTAATTTGGAGCCGTCTTTAAGAAAATGGCGTTTAAGCGTACTGTAAATGCGAACTTCAAAGCTCTTATTAACAGAAAATATTTGAGTTTTCGAATAACGTAATTTGAAGTCGTTTGAAGCACTTAAACTCAAAAATGCTATAATTGGTACAAATTGCTGTAAATCTGCGTATTAACGGCGTGAGAGTTATTTAAAAAAAATTACATTTGTGTAATTTTTGAAAAAACAAAAGAGTACACCATAATGAAATTTATGGCATATTCAACGGTGCAATTAGCACTATATGTTGGAAACGTTTGAAGAAAAAATTTGGAGCCATTTTTGTGAAAATGGAATTTGAACGTTTCTGAAAATACAGTATTTTGAATTCATTTTCATAGAAAACAATTGCGTTTTCGACAAACTGTATATGATGTCATTTAAAATACATGTACTCATAAATACAATATTATGAAGAAATCGCCGCTAATGTAAATATTAAGGACGTGAGAGGCTAGTAAAAAAATTACATTTTCGTAATTTTTTAAAAACAAAGGAATATAGCAATATGTTTATGTCATCTCATAGAGTACATTTATCATTATCTCTACCAAAAGTTTAAAGAAAAAATTTGGAGCCGTTTACGAGAAAATATTTTTTGTTATTTGCTAAAATTACACATACTGCACGCATTATTATGCAAAAACTACTAAAATTTTCAATAAAGTGTACTTGTACTTAACGAAAGTACTAAATATGGAAAACAAATTTCTTTTGGAGAAAAAATCAATTTCCAATTTGTAGTTGTTGGAAGACGCCGAAAAAATCAAACTTTTGAAATTTATGAAAATTTAAGTTGACCCTGAAAATCGGACATATGCCACCTTCATAAGCGTGTTTTATTCTATTCATACAAGAAATTTAAACAACACAATTTAAAGTCGTTGTTGAGTAAATTTTGAAAATGTCCGGGGCGCTTCATGTAAAGCACTTAAACGGTATGTAGGATTTTTTCCAAATTGAAGAAACTTGGCTCGAGTCGAAACTTTGATATTTTTAAAAAAATTCTTTAAATTTTGAGTATACTTAACATGCATGTGGATATTTTCAAAATTTTCTCGAAAACGCTCAAAATTTTTGGGTTAAACTTATGGTAGGGATAGTGCTAAATGTACTCTATAAGATGAGATAAACTTCATATTGCTCTATTATTTTGTTTCTTCAAAAATTACAAAAATGTATTTTCTACTTGGCGCTCACGCCGTTAATATTTATTCTAGCGGCAGTTTGTTCATATTATTGTCTTTGTGAGTACATGTGCTTTAAATAATGGCATATAAATTTTCTCAAAAACTCAACCGTGTTCTGTGAAAACTAGCACAAAATTCCGCATTTTCAGAAAGGCTTAATCGCAATTTTCTCAAAACAGCTTCAAATTTTTTCTTCAAACTTCTCGAACGGTTAATGCTAATTGCACGCTTTAATATGACGTAAAGTTCATTTCGGGGTCTTTTTTCTTCAAAAATTACACAAATGTAATTGTTTGAAAGATCTCTCACGCCGTTAATATGCACATTTTCAGCAATTTGTAAACACTATTGTATTTCTGAGTTAAAGTACTTCAAATAAAGTTTTCCGAAAACTCAAAAATTTTCTGTGAAAAAGAGCTTCAAATTTTGAATTTACAGTAGCGCTTAAGCGTCTTTTTTTAAAGACTCCAAATATTTCAAAGAAAATTGCCATATAGGACAATGTTTTACTTTTCTTTAATAATCTCAAAATAATATTTTCGTTTTATTATTAGGACATCGAAAAAATATGAAAATTTTATAAAAATGTCCTTTTGCGGCGATAGATGGCAGCTGTCTGGAGTATGTGGCGAGTTCGTACAGCTCGCCGAGACCAAAGGATTTCGAAAACTAATGCGGCAAAGTCTGTGCCATTCTGCAGCACCACTACTTCTGTGCCATCTGCATCCCCCCGTGGCGTTACGCAGGTGATCGCTTGCGCGCTGCTGAGCGCGCCCACCTCCACGCTTCACCACTGGCAGCACCACGTGGCGGCCGTGGGCATCTTCCTCACGTGGCTGGAGCTGCTGCTGCTCGTGGGCCGCTTCCCCGTGTTCGGCCTCTACGTGCAGATGTTCGCCACCGTCGCCCTCAACTTCGCCCGCTTCCTGCTCGCCTACAGCTGCCTGCTCATCGCCTTCAGGTACGCCCTTCCACCGCGCTACATATGTGCGGAGTGGGGATGGCGAGGGAAAGATTAGCCGATATGTTGGAATGCAGTACGAGCGGCTTCTGGGCAGTGGGGATAGTTTTTTCCAATAATGTTTTTATTATTTCCATTGGCGCACTAGCGGTGTTCCTACCTAGCTGAAATGTAAGATTTGAGGCCGACCTACATGTCGGCTTGAGGGGTTTCTCCTTCGAAGTACCTTCCCCAGCTAGGCACCGTCCTGGCCTGGACTAGATATAAGATTCCGACTGGTTTCTCGACATATATATGGTAGTAAAGTTTGTGCGAGCGGAAGTAGGAACAAAGTTGAATGAAAATTTGCGCGCGGTCCATGGCCTGTTTGTTAGGGTACAGCTGTGGAAATCGCCTAGTACTGCTCGGAAAACTATCTAAATCGAATTGTACTACAAAAGCATATAGTTTCTTGCATTTTTTCTAAATTTTGAGCGGTTTTTGAGAAAAAGTGTTTTAAAAAATGCCTCTACCTCACCCAAAATTGCCCGAAAACTACTTATATTTTCGTAAAATTGTATGTGACTTTATATCAAGATACGTCTTTAAGAAACAGATTTCATTAAGGATAATAAGTCTACATTCAATATTGTGGTTGTAGAAAGATGCCGAAAAGCTTTTGAACTTTTGCAATTTTTGAAAAATCAGGATTTTTAATGCAAATTAAACGTACACCATTCTTTTATGCACTTTATGCTATCCGAGGACAAAATTTAATAAAAAAATTGGAGCCATTGTTGAGAAAGTGTTGAAAATGTTAAGAGAACTCAAATTTAGAGAGTCTTGAGTTCTTTCAATCGATCGAGAAATATCAATTTTTGATAAATTCGGCTGAAGGGTTTTGTCGCTAGCGTTAATCACAGACAGACGATCAAACACACGGACAAACGAACAAACAGAGAAATCGTTTTGTCGATAGTCGATTTTTCGGGATCAAGGACCTACAAAACATGTATTTCAACTAAACAACGTGTTAAAGAAACTAATTTTCTATATATAAGAACAAGACTTATCCACTCTTTCGTTACCAGGACCGGGAATTAAGAGATTTCGAGCCGAAAATTCTCACTTATTGTACATCAGTTTCTGGCTCAATAACCTCCAGCCATCTCAATAGATAACACACGGGACCAAGATTTTTACCTCCAGGAAGGTAGAGTGCGCAACATACTCAATGGCATACGTAGATTACGAATATCACAATAAAAATGTTACATCACGTCACAGTTACCGTATCTTTAAAGTTTAAAGATACCGTATCTTTCCGTATTTTGCTATTAATTCAAATACATTTAAATTGAAGCCGCGTAAGATATCAAGATATCAATACGCATAAATTCTATTTAAAAATAAAATATTTATTCAGTTCTTCCATGCCACTTTCGGAAGATATCGTCAACAAGATTGGGCTTTCGTGTTTGTTTTTGTTTGATTTTTACATTCTGTACTTGAAGATTGCCACCTTTATTAATAAGTCGGGTAATCGAGCTCAACTACGAGTAGGTCTTAATCGGCTTCGTAGGTTTTAGTGGATGTTTTGAAAACAAATCACGTGGACCCTCATATTTCTTACTACGCATCGACCACCAAAAATAATTATTGTAGCCCCTTACTTTATCGCAAGTATACTAGTATCCAACTGTTGGGGTGGCAGCTTCTGAGTCAGTCAGTGGCATGCGGAACTGTACCCGCACTGCGTGTCAAGGTCGTGTCTGGTTTGCGTGTGCCTCAAATACATTACAGTTCAGTGTGTTTTATAAAGTGGAATTTTCCACATGATCTTTAGAATTGAATAGGTTCGATTAAAAATGCAAATCGTCATTTTACATCGAAAGTGTGCGAATAAATCCGATAACGATATTATATTTGTGGAAGATTTACACCCAAACTTCAAAGGAAAAAATGAAATTACAAAACTTGCGTATTCTTTATATTTTGGCTATCGTATTTGTGATCAGGACACTCCATGGGCTACTCACCAATGTTGTGTCACCTTTAGCTGGTGGTAGTATGGAAAACTCAAATCATCGTCATTCGCTCTGCCAATTTTGTAGAGAATACCAACAAATCATTTTGATGTCTGCGTATTGTCGTACGAATATCCGCATTCCATTTTTAATACTCATAAAATTTTGTAGTAATATAATCGGAGAGACAATGGGGAAATTAGTATAGGATTTTGTTTATTTGAAATACTAAATATGTTCATATCTTTTGAGCCTTGAATGATAGAAACCTTTTATAGTGGTTTTCGAAATCAGCGTGATCGTTTCCGTTGAAATCACTTACTTTCATCCTGGAGGTATGAATTTGTTTTTATTCCCTAGTGCAATGATCCAGTTTCCCTGAACCTTTGAGCAACTGCTGAAATAACCCTTGTTTTTAAGAGCCTTACAATGTAGCATCACAATCTGTGCATTATTCTTCAGATTACCTTGAATATAATTATTCAAATAATTATCCATTTTCTCCCGACAGAAAGTCGATTCTTTCACGAAGGCATAACAAGGAATAATAGCCTAAATTAGTAGCTGATTTGCCTCTGCAAAATGTTCGTATTCCACGGTAGCATATATATTTTAATTGTGCATGTACAATTCTTGAGGAACACGCTCCAGTATTCATAATTCAACCTAAAATGACATGACCGGAGCTGAGTTAGGGTAGGAATCCCAGAGCTCAAGAAAACGTGCACAGATTGCACTTTTCCACAAAGCTCGTCACACATAATTTTTAAATGTTTTTTGACATTAAATATATACCATAGGATGAGAGTTGCAATCTTATAATATTCCCTAACAGTTACCCATAATACGAGAAAGTATGTGCTCTAGTAGCAGCACTAGTTTATGTATAATGTATTGGTTGTGCTACTTGTAAAATTATTCTGTTCTTGGCCACGGCGGTATAGACGCACTAAAGAATTAATTTGTACTTCACATGGATAAGTGACACGATTCCATAGTGTAATATATTGCTGCCATCAATGTTCGTATAGAAACTCACGAGGGAATTCCCTGTTGCAGCCTCAGCTTCGGCGTGCTGTTCCCGGACTACAAGGCGTTCAGCCACGTGCTGTGGAGCCTGATGAAGACGGTGGTAATGATGTCGGGGGAGCTGGAGTTCGAGGACATCTTCTATGGGGACACGAGCGTGGCGTACCCGGGCACGGCGCACTTCGTCTTCCTGGCGTTCGTGCTTCTGGTGACGGTGGTGCTCACCAACCTGCTGCTGGGACTCGCCGTCTCCGACATCCAGGTGTGCAAGGGTTCGCCATTGAAGGGCTTCCCGGAATGAGGATGTAGCCGACAAAATTGGCGAAAATGGGATGCATGTCGAATAAGGCTATAATATCGATGTTCTATACCGCGGCTCACTCTTATTTCCCGATATGTGCAATAATTTGCGTTATTAATACTTTAACATCGCATTTCGTGGAAATAGGATAAAACACCATTCAAGATGGCCGATTGTGTAATTATAGGATTGTTGCTTGACATGTTAAAACAAGTTAAGAAAGGCAACCGGCGTGAAATAAATGTAGGTAATTGGAAAGACGCGAAGACCTCGAAGATCATGGTGCATAATATAGTATCTCGGTAAGATGTGCTATTAAACGTGCAAAACAGCCTACCGAGGAAAGTGGAATATCTGTGTAACATCGTTAACCAAAATGTGTAGAGAAGTTAAACGAAGGAACGCCACGTTACTGATATTTAATAATTCAATTTGCAGAACATTATTTGTAAATGTAAATACAAAGTTTGATTAATTACCGTCAGTTCTATGTAAATTTGTAATTTTACCTCCCTATACTATAGTATCACACACTATGTAATTTAAAAAAACGCGATCTCCAATTTCGGTCCTAAAATAAATGGCATTCATGATATATGCATACATTGTCTAAACAATTCCATTTTCCCGCGACAGAAATATTATTATTATATTACACTACAGTCGTTTATGTTACAGATGTCATTCGCTATTAACAGCGATTGAAAACAATGTAGTATAGTGAGCAACGATAAGCATAATTGGTTGAGCGACTAAGAAACTATTGCCTTCTCGCACGAACCAAACTACCAAAGAACGGTGGCGCTGAACGGGTGAAAAGTAAAAAGGGCGCGGCAGAGCGGAGCAGAACCAGGTTCGAAGGCCGAAGTCATGAAATAACAAAACCCTAGGTATGACTCTTTATTGGAGACGTACGAACATATGCTGTCAAAAATCCAATTGTCAGAGAAACGGTCCCCGCGCTTGCGACAACATAACAGGGCCGCGCCCCAATGTTTCGGAGGTGAAGGTGGCCTTAGCCACGTGCCTCCGCACCACGACGACCTGCACGTCGTGCGACAGGAATTCGAATTTTAAAAAAATATTTCCTCTCGTTCGACAGGTTTTCCCTTCGAGGAGGTTAATTATACAGTACATAGTTTTTAGCTGTTGGCTGGGAATGGCCATCCATAAGCAGTGATTTTCATTGCTATGAAGCAGGAATGCGAATCTACACGTTTGCTCTGCCTCAAAAGAAGATTTAGATTTATTTAGTCAAAAAGCAGTGAAAACTGTATGTGACGTATGGGGGAGAAGATCATCTGCACACGATTTCTTGAGTTCCAGAATCCCTTCCCATCAAGAAATCCAGGGGCCTCAGAACGGGCGATTGTGGAGGCTAGACGACAGGGCCGCTATTCGTACAGCCAATCTTGCGACCAGCAAGGTACGCGTCGAGGTGAGCGATAAGGGAACGCCTTGAAAACGCAGTGTTACGTTCCTGCCATAACAACACCAATGTACTGGAACTCAAGAGTTTCCGTACGCTCGAGCGAACACGCCAATCGTGTTTTGTGTGTGTGTTGTAAATGTCGTCGCCAATAAAAATAACGGCATAAATTCGAGTCGACAAAAATGATTTCAATTATTTCATCCTTAGTAATATCAACAATACGTCATCATTTTTCCCACAATTCAACGTTGACCCCTCTACTTATTGTGCACGGGTGTCGTATTCACACTCTTGAGCATAATTTTGCTTTTGATCGCGAAATAATCAGTTTTGTTCAAATAAAATCCTTCTGCATAACGACAGTTTTGTAGATGTGCCACTTTTCTTGTGCAACGCCGATTTTTGTTTCGGTAGTTCGTCCTAAAATGTTCTTACTGTTATGAATTGTTTTCCGGGTTTACAGTCCGAAAGACAAATAGTGATATAATCTACATTACACTACGTCAAACGTTCGGAAATTAATTTTTGTAGAACGGTACTTTTGTTGATATACGCAATTCTCGTTTGCTGCTTCGTCCGTGCATACGTGCTTTAATAATTCCCTTTCTGATTTTATAAACTAAACATATTCGTGCATACCTTTCAGTCAGCTTCACCACTGCACAGCAGTCCATCGCTGACAGCAAATTCAAGCAGCGATTAGAGTGCAACACTACCGCGTCGAGAACCTGGAGTCGTAAACTGGCAACCTGGGTTGCGAACAGTTGCCAACATCAGAAGGATTATAGGGGAAGCTCTTGATTCTCCTCTCCCTCCTCAGCAAACCTCTCTCCACTAACTTCAGTGACAAAAATGTTATTAAACCCCTAAACCCTAAATTATTTACTACACATTTTTTGTCACGTACATTTATAGTACTACCACAATTTGCGACTAGAATTTAAAGACGATCAAACAACCTTGTTACAAATATACTTTAAAAAGAGGAAATATTATTTACATTACATTCTTCGCGACATATTAATCATAAATAAGGCCTAAAATTTGGCCTAAAGTATTTTCTTTAGTGTAGACTCTTATACGTGTATACAATTTACATCTAGTAGTTTATTTAGCAGAAAACTGCTTTTTGGCTTTCCATAAACAGAAAAGAAACACGTTTGGCTGGTTATGTCACTCTTCCGGGCATCTACCCAATTGTGTTTGCACTCTTCAAAACACTGTGGGCCTATTCATTCTTTCTCTTTGACTTGTGGGATCTATAGAGCGGCATAGCTTCAGTAGGCCCCCGGGGTAAACTAATGGTATCACCCCTCCCCCTGAATTAAATATAAAAGATATATTACTGAATAGTTTGTATATTTAATAAAATACAATTATTTTACACGTGACATCTATTTATAATATATTCAAAAACTGTATGTAATTCAGAATACAGTACAACCTCGCTAATTCGAAATTTTGGATAATCCGAACACAATTCGGGATGGAAGGAAAATAAACAAAATAAATAAAAATGTATTTGTAGTGTAAAGAGATGATTTTATAATGACTATAAACTATTTTATAACTACTATTAATTACTGAAATCCAAGTTGTCGAAATTAAACGTTTTTAAACAGGTAACTACTGTGTATATCACATGTTTAGGTAGCAGTCATTTTCACTTAGTGGAACTTGCAAAATCGGTATCCTTTTGCTGTAAGGAATTGAATCTGCCTGGTGTTGCGATGTGATGATATCCATCGCTACGCTACGTAGCCATTTTTCACATCGCAGGCTACGTTGCATTGTCTGGTAATCCAATAGATGAATTTCTATGTGTACGGTACATTTTTTCGGGTAATCCGAACGTTTCCGAATCCCAACAGACAACACCCCAATTCGTTCGGATTACCGGGGTTCTCTTGTAAATGAAATATATTTTTTAAATAAATAATCTTAAACGAAGTAGACCTAATTACCAAATGTAGATCTAATTACCAAATACAAGTTTTTTATAAAAACACTTTTCGAGATTTGAGAGCAGCAAACATAGCTATAATTTCGCCAAAATCTATGCTTATTGCAGTATCATTTTTTACTCACCATTGAACCAAAGCAGAAAGTCTGGATTCATTCATTGTAGGTCATAAATATCTAAATGGTGTCCTCCCTAAAATGATGTCATCTGGGACGGACTGCCTTCCTTCCCCCCCCCCTCCCGCCAACTACTCTACTGGCTCTATATTTCATCAATATTGTAAATTGCCAGGTAACTCATACATGTGTACATAACATAAGATTTTAATCATTCCCATATTTTAACATGGAAACTAGTAACAGCCTTGAAGATAGCTTAAGCCTTTGAGGTAGGAGCCGGCGTCAGTAGCAGAACTGCTTATTTAACGCTCTGTGAAGTCACGGAGGTTGAGCAGTTCAAGAACTAAAGGCTCCCGAATGAGCGACCGTCTGGAAGTTTCGGATACTAACGGCGAATCCCTGGCCGACAGGGATAAAAGGCACTGACGTGACCAACAACGACTAGTTTAAGGATAATTTCTCCGTATTACTTACGAGTGGGACTGTCTACATCAGGAATTCCCAACTTTTTTCTACCATCTATCTCATTTAAAAAAAAATGATTTGCTTTCTCGACCTTCGTAACATTTTCTATAATACACAGCATATAAAATAAATATAACACAAATAATTGCACATAAACGACTTGATTTCTATTAGACGAAGAATATGCACGAAAGTTTTAAGAACAAAGGTTTATTAGTTTTATGTTTTATTTTTGTACTTTTATAATTTTCAATTTTTAGTAATATAAATAAGTATTTTTAGACGTTTTGAACAAAATAATTAACGATTTGTTGTAATCAATAGCATCCTGATTATATAGATCAGTTGCCGGTTCATATTCGGCTATCGATCCCCAATCGACCCCCTGATCATCATTAAACCCTTTCAAAATTGCATCGACCCTCACGGGGTCGATACAGACCCCGTTTGTAAACACTAGTCTACATTAAAGGAGAATTACCCATCGTTCAAAGCCTAATAAGGCTTGGGAACATTCTTCGAAAAATAAAAGTAAGAGCGGCGCAACGCGCGAGGGAGGTATTGGCAAGGGTGGCTTGGGGCATTAACTGATATCACTGCAGTGCTTCTGTCCAGCAGGTCTGAGGGTTCCGGTCCCGACGATGGCAAGGTTTTTGATACTAACTTGTCAGTCAGGTCGAATTCAGCCGCAGTCTGGAGGAGAATTCTAGCAGCCGGCTACTCTCAATGGTAGTTATCTGAGGTTTCTCCGATTAACACCAGGCGAATGTAGGGGCAGTACCCTAATAGGGCTACATATCGCGTGCGATCTTTCCGTCCTCTTCCTTGTCTTCTCCTCGCCCCTTACTGACATACACACGTGCACTACACTAAAACAAGCCGAGATACCAATCGGGAGCTTAGAGCTTGTCCCGGGTTCGAGGGATGCCACGCTGATGGGAGATACCTGGTTGGGGAATCCCTGCCAGTCAACGTAAGTTGGCGCCAAATTTCGCCATCAATCAGCGGAAGATCAGTGCCA